CGCACAAAGTAGCTTATATGAAGGTCAAAGTTTCTATACATCACCAGGCTATGTAAACCTGTAATGTAGCTTATATTAAGGTAAATGTTTCTATACATCACCAGGCTATGTAAACCTGTAAAGTAGCTTATATTAAGGTAAATGTTTCTATACATCACCAAGCTATGTAAACCTGTAATGTAGCTTATATTAAGGTAAATGTTTCTATACATCACCAAGCTATGTAAACCTGTAAAGTACCTTATATTAAGGTCAATGTTTCTATACATCACCAGGCTATGTAAACCTGTAAAGTAGCTTATATTAAGGTAAATGTTTCTATACATCACCAGGCTATGTAAACCTGTAAAGTACCTTATATTAAGGTAAATGTTTCTATACATCACCAAGCTATGTAAACCTGTAAAGTAGCATATATTAAGGTAAATGTTTCTATACATCACCAATGTTATGTACAGTTAGTGTATACTCTCACACTTCCTTATTCAGTAGCTTTTAAAGTCCATATAAAGTTGTTTTAAGTGTTTTAATACACCATTTATCCACTGTGCCCATTCCCTTATTTAGTGGCTTGTAAAATAAGTTTGTGTAAGATGTTTTATTACACCATTTATCCACTGTGTCCATTCCCTTATTTAGTGGCTTGTAAAATAAGTTTGTGTAAGATGTTTTATTACACCATTTATCCACTGTGTCCATTCCCTTATTTAGTGGCTTGTAAAATAAGTTTGTGTAAGATGTTTTATTACACCATTTATCCACTGTGTCCATTCCCTTATTCAGTGGCTTGTGAAATAAGTTTGTGTAACATGTTTTATTACACCATTTATCCACTGTGCCCATTCCCTTATTTAGTGGCTTGTAAAATAAGTTTGTGTAACATGTTTTATTACATCATGAATGAGTCTCTGTGTACCCACTCTTTTACTTACTAGCTTATAAAATCTTTATAAAGTTTTACAAATTGTTTTATTACAACATCAGTCCATCATGGATGAGTCTTTAAATACGTACTCCCTTATTTAGTGGCTTGTAGAATCTTTGTGAAGTTTTGTAAAGTGTTTTAATACACCACAAGTCCATCATTAATGAATATCTAAATACCCACACCCTACTTAATAGCTTGTAAAATGCTTATAAAGTTTTGTAAATTGTTTCAGTCCTATTGATAATGATGGGTCCTACATGATTAATCCTATAAATAATGATGGGGCATGTAGGCCCCATCATTATTTATAGAATTAATCATGTAGGACCCATCATTATTTATAGAATTAATCATGTAGGTTTAATCCTATAAATAATAATGGGGCCTACATGAACTCTATTGGATTTTTAAACATATTTTTTTAAAACTACTTGTGCACTAAGTTGCTCATGGGTCCATGACTTTGTTGGCAACATGGTCATTAGTGTCATGTAAGTCAAACAAAATCATTTAAACAAAAAAAAAAAACACCATCAAAATTGTAATTAATACTCTTAACTGCTGCCGAAATCCTCCATGTATTTTATGTAGAAAACCAGTGATTCCTCTCATCAGTTCTTTACACACCGAGTGTTCTAACAGGTAAATACAAACCCTCCATGTATTTTACGTAGAAAACCAGAGATTCCTCTCATCAGTTCTTTACACCGAGTGTTCTAACAGGTAAATACAAACCCTCCATGTATTTTACGTAGAAAACCAGTGATTCCTCTCATCAGTTCTTTACACCGAGTGTTCTAACAAAACTAATTACTTGGTACGATGTAATATGTGGATCCTGGGGAATTGTATAAAAGAAGCATAGATCAGCCTTCCCATGGTCCTTTGCATATAAAACTCTTGTGTCATATCCCTTAAGTTGTATTTCTACACATGCAAAACATTATATAGCTTTTGTGACAGATATTTATTTACGTAAGGTGTTTTTTTTTTTGTAGAGCAATGACTACTGATGTAGTAGTTTTTACTACTCATGTTTAATATGTAACTGCTTAAACAGTGTTTACACGGATATGTAAGGGGCTTTCTTAATACTTCCTTAGGCAGATACAAGTGTGTGATAACCTGGATCATGAACCAGTTCCCCCCAATCATACTATGTAGCTTGTTTTATTATATTTTAATGTACCATAGGTATTGAACACCAAATTGTAGCATTATAAGCCTTGAAACTTACCACTGATCCACTGGGGGCTTTCTTATAGTAAGATTTATTTACTTTTTCAGAGACTTGTGTCGATGAACATGCCACTGAACACTGATGGGACTGTAATGTTCAATGCCACTCTTTTTGCTTTAGTTAGAACTTCATTACATATAAAAACAGAAGGTTAGTTATTCCCTGGTGTCTTATTGACTACTGTTATGGTGAACATTTGATTTATTGAGCTGTAATACTTATTCTTAATGCTTACTTATTTGATTCTTTTTGTTATGTGTTTCAGCTTGTTGTCACTTAAACCATAATTAGTTGGTTGTTTAGATAAAAAAGTTTATTTTGTAGCCGGTTGTGGGTTATTGTAAAAAGAAAAAGAACTACTGACATGGTGAAAGTTGTTTCTCAGTGTTTGTGTATGCTGCAGTTGAAATATACCAGGTTTTACCATTTCAAAACTATAAAATATGTTTATTATATTACATAATGCAATATTTTTAAAAGCTTTGTTCTGTATTTATTTAACATCTATGTAATGATAATAAGTAGTCGTAAAGCTGCATTAATTCTCACTTGAAGCTAAGGTTGGATATAAAAGTAGCCATTCCATAGAGCTTATACTTGATTTAACATATATCTGTGTTATTCTGGGGTGCAGGTCATATCTTAGTGAAGGTGTAGTACAGGAGTTTGTACAAGTTAGTATGAGCTGGAAGTTAATCTCAACTGAATATACATAATAAGAATGATCACTTTTATAGGTAACTGTGAGATATACCAAACTAAGGCTTAAAAACTATGTGGTATAAACACAGTTATGTAGTCTTTTGCCTAGTTCTAGCAGCCAGTGAAGTTTCAACAAGTTAGAAACTAGATAGATTAAAAAGTAAACACCTAGAAAGTTTTTGTTTAACGAGTGAAGCTTTTATTTCTTGTTTTACACCTGTGTTTGAGTCTTTTGTTTGCTGGTTGTGTATGTTTAATTCATTCTCTTTCAAACCAAGCCATTTTAGAAGCTCCAATATTGTAGACTTAATATTTGTCAGTTCCAGTTATCCTTAGAATACCACATATGTTTGTGATGGTTGGGGTGTTTGATACATCCTTCACATCAGCTTAAGCATTATTATCTAACTTTTTAATATAAACTCAAAAATGTACCATTTTAAAAGTCTATAAATCTAAAATTCCTCGTACATTTTAACGAGTAGGTAATATTGACGAGGCCAATGAAGAACTCCGAGCTGTGATAAAGAAGATATGGAAACGAACATCCTCAAAGCTTCTAGATCAAGTGGTTCCACCTGCTGGAGGTTTGCTTATTTTTTGTATAAGTTTTTAATTTCCTGTAGCTACTACAACATATTAAAAGATTTGAAGTAACATTTCATTAACTGTAATATACATTTTGTGGTTACCAGCGAATAACTAGACACTTAGATTTTTAAACACTTTTTTTACTACTACCCAGCCGACGATGACGTAACAGTGGGCAAGTTTTATGCAACGTTTCTGATTCAAGACTACTTCAGACGGTTCAAGAAGAGGAAAGAAGAAAAAGCTGCAGGAGATGTAAATGATCCAATGAATGCTGTGGCTTTGACTGTATGTATAGTGGGAAAAGCATTCTAAATTGGTTCAAGTTTTTCTACAATTACAGAAAATTTATAGAAAGGTTTTGTTTTTATACAAGAAAAAAATCCATCATTATTTATAGGTATTAATCATGTAGGCCCCATCATTAT